GGTCATTTTTTATATTTTTCTGCTTATTCTTTGTCCTTTTTGTCTATTTTTGGTCATTTCTAATATTTTTCTAATAATTTTTGAGCCCTTTTGTGCTCATTTGTGTTTATTTGTGGCCATTTTTCATCCTTTTGTGGTTCCTTTGTGTCTGTCTGCAGTTGTTTTGTGTTTCTTTGAGGTCATTTTTCATCTTTTTGTGCTTCTTTTAGTCTCTATGTGGACGTTATACGTCTATTTGTGACCATTTTGGGGGGTTTTGTGTTGGTTTTGTTTCTTTGTGGTAATATACCATGTTTCAGTGGTAATTCTTCTGCCTTTCGTGTCCATTTGTTTCTGTAAGTTGTGGTCATTTTTAGTATTTTTATGGTTATTCTTTGTCCCTCTTGTCTATTTGTGGTCATTTCTAATATTTTTCTATTATTTCCTGGTCCTTGTTTTGGTCATTTGTGTCTCTTTGATGTCATTTTTTAGATATTTTTCCGGTTATTCTTTGTCCCTCTTGTTTATTTGTGACATTTTGTGTCTATTTGTGGTCATTTCTCATCTTTTTTATATTTCTTGGCCCTTTTGTGGTCACCTGTGTCTATTTCAGACCCTTTCTCATCCTTCTGCAGTCATTTTCTGTCTCTTTGTGGTCGTCTTTTGTCTCTGTGGTAATTTATCCTATTCTAGTGGTGATTCTTTATTTATTGTCTCTTTGTGGATATTTTGTCTGTTTGTGGTCAGTTTTCATCTTTTTGTGGTTCTTTTGTGTCTCTGATCATTACAGACGTTTTACATCCACATATTTTGTGTCTCTTTGTGGTAATTCTTCATATTTACGAGGTTATTTTTTGTCCCTTTATGGTCATTTGTCCATTTTTTATGATAATCTTTAGCCTGTCTTTGTGGTATTTTTTCATCTCCTCGCGGTCCTTCAGTATCGACCGTTTATTTCACACATTGTTCTTCCTTCAGGCTTCGGATTCCTGCGTTTGCACATGCGGCCGACCTGCAACCCTGCACGCACTCCGAGGCAGAGAAACACCTACAAAATAAAAGCGCAAACAGCTGCTGCTCTGCACTTCTTAGTCCCTGTTTGCACTTCAGGCAGAAATCAAACACACACCAATCGATGGCGAGCGTCTTTGACCTCAGCGTATGTTGGAGGAAACACAAGAAGTTTGCCGGATTCGTGTGCCAGCAGCAGAAATCAACAGGCAGCGGGAGGATTAATTAACTCTGGACACGCAACTGGAAGCTCAATCAGCCGAGTTCACCTCCAAGGCTGCTGCTGCTGCTGCTGCTGCTGCGGGAAACAAACGGGATTATGCAATCACAACAAACTCAGAACAACTGGATGCACGTCTCTGCTGCACTGATTCCTGCCGTTCATTCTCATGTACTTAACAGGAGTAATTACATTAAGTGGATGGTGGTGAACGTGCTGCTCTGTTTGGTCCAGTTCGTATTCACACTGTCCACACTTGAGCTGTGTGTTCATGTTTGAGTGAAACATTTCACCATTTATCCACCACTCACAGATTATTTCATGATTTACCGACACTTTTATCTCTGCGTTCTGACAAAAGATCCCTTCACACGCACAGGTCACACGGTCGAACTCACAAAAACACATTTATTCATCATGTTTCAGAGCCCAGCATTCATCAGACAGCCTCACCGACTGACACCGAACACAAAGAGACG